TTCAGGACCCCATCTTGATGTTTCGGGACCCCACTTTGGGTCCCGACCCCAACTTTGGGAAACACTGGTCTAGAGGGTGATACACTGGTGGAGTTACCACCTCTGCCAGAATCTGTCTTTGCACCTCCAACAATATAGACAGAGTATAAATAACATAAACRTGTTTCAGAAGTAATATTCATTGTGATGAGTTGTTCCAGTGAATGTGTTCAGATCACAGCCAGTTTGAATTGGGTTGGCTCCAAAATTTGCTTATCTGTAAATGCACATCCAACGACCACCCTATTGAAATTTGTCCAATAGTTTATGAGGTAATTTGCTAATAGACAGACTGAGTTATTCCAACATTATAAACACAAATCTTGCTCAAAATATTACTGGTTAGAATATGAATTGGGAATGTCTCTCGGGTAATACAATTTTTACATCACTCTTTGTAAAATTCATTATAATGATTTGTAGGGTTTGTTGGCAGTGGTGGCCATCTTGAATTGGTTCATCAATGATGTACATCCAGTGAGTGCTTGCAAGTGTCTTAAAATTCGGCTGGTTGTTCATGTGATATTGAATAATAAAACAATACAAAGTGCTTATAATGTTCTCAGTTAATGCTTTAATTAAATATGGTGACAGCAATAACGTTAAAAACATTGTTACAGTAATAGTGTTGGCCATTTTTTTATTAATCATAATTTAGACATGTCTTGAGTGACAACAATAAGCATCCAAAGGATTGGCAGGAAATGCATGCAAAAAGAGAGGGAGAGAAAGAAGAAAGAAAGAAATTCTGTTTATAAAAAACATTTTCTCTATAACAACTTCTTGTCTTCAAGTAATAAGTATCAGGTTAGCCAATTTCATCTCAGACATTTCAGTTGTTTTTTTTCATGTCATGTTTGCTTCAATAACAACAAAAAGGGAAATATATATTCTTAGACATCTTAAACAAAAGGTCATCTGACTCCCCAAGATATTACGTTGCCTTACCAAAATATACATATAAATAAATTATTAAATAAATAAAACAGTATAAAAACTATCATTATGCCATTGAATATCAACATATAAAAAGAAAGAAAAAAGGTGAAGAGAAGAATAAATAAATAAAACAAGGTCGGTAGAGTTTTTATTGAAACTCATTAAATCAACGTGATTCATCCAACACATGCTCCTCTCTATAATTCTAACTTAAAACACATGTGTGTGTGTATGTGTGTATGTGTGTA